TAACAGGAAAGAAGTTTTGAGTGCAAGATGTGTGGGAAGACATTCAAACGTTCCTCCACCCTCTCCACTCATCTGCTGATCCATTCAGACACACGGCCCTATCCCTGCCAGTACTGTGGCAAGCGCTTCCACCAGAAGTCGGATATGAAGAAACACACTTACATCCATACTGGTGAGAAACAAAACATTCCCAGTAAGCAAATGCAAATTAGAGTCCATCATGTTGCTACTCATACACAGATCCCAGACACAGAGATACGGGACTGGGGATAGGTGGCCAGAGGCACCTATCTTACCCTGAGCGGTAAGAAAGCAGAAGGTCTAAGCATCACTGAGATGCATGTCCTCCTGCGTGACAAGGAGGTGGTTATTGACCAGCCTCGGGAGACTGTCATGGTTGTACCTAGCCCTGGGTGCAGACAGAGAATGGGTCACATAGCTGGAGAGGACTGCCTCTGGTTCTTCTCACCCTCTGGTGCTGGATCAGAGCACAGACACATTAGCAGGACACTAGCACCCTGGTGCCCAAGTATAGCCAGTCAGGTGTGCATCTGCTAAAGGGCGTTTCTACCTCCCCTCTCTCATCTGTTGAAATGTTTCTTACCATTTTCTCTGCCCTGCAGGGGAGAAGCCCCACAAATGCCAGGTATGTGGCAAAGCCTTCAGCCAGAGCTCCAACCTCATCACTCACAGCCGCAAGCACACCGGCTTCAAGCCCTTCAGCTGTGAGCTCTGTGCTAAGGGCTTCCAGCGCAAGGTGGATCTACGGAGGCACCGGGAGACCCAACACAGTCTCAAGTGAGGGATGGCTCCAAGTCTTTGCTGGAGCTCCCACTGCCAGTACATGCTCCAGGGAAGAAGTCTCTCCCCAGCATCTCCATCCACCGTGGGGCTGCCTACCCTATGAAGCTCATATAGTGTCCTGTGTTCCCCTGGGGGCTGGCAAAGTCATGTCATTGGCTTTGGAGTTCTGGCAGCCCAGGGCCTTGCACATCCCAGTAGGTGACAAAGAAACCTGCAGGAGCTCTCACTTTTCAATTACAACAAGTGCCAGCCCACATCTGACATCACCTGCTCCAGTGCAAAGCCAGAGGAGTTCCTCCAAGGTCACTATTACTCTGGTTTTACACCATGTGCAGGATTCAGCTCATCAGACTGAACCAGCAGTGAGGTGGGAACTCCTGGGCTAGTGGGAGCAACAATCTGAGCCAAGCCAGTGCTGTAACCATGTTCTGCTTTGATGGTTAGGAAGATAAGGCCAGGGCATGCAAATAGACTGAATTCAGTGAGCTGTGTTCAACACGGACAAGGCTTCTGCAGAGACTTGCCCAGGTCATAAATTCTGGCAATTGGCACCTAAAGTAATTTTCTTCCAGCAGAACATTTACTGTGATCAAATGACAAGTTAACTGTGTTGTATTTTTAGCTTGGAGTGGGAGGAAAACACTGAAGAAACAGCTCCTTATCCCTAGCTGATAACAGGGGTCTCTAAATGCATTCCCCATATGCACCACGCTGCAAAGATCCCTGGGATAGTGGCAACCAAGAAAGCTCCTGAAAGAGCCATGCCAAAGCATGAGGCATAAGCTAATAAGCCCCATGTCTCAGTACCACACAAGAGAGACTAGCTGCTCTTGGAATCCAGGCTAGTATGTCCCACAGTATTTCACTGCATGCTTGACGTACCTACTCAGAGGTGTCCTGGGCAATCCTGTGTCACTGCATGGTCAGGAATGGCCCTTGGATATCAATGTCAAGGGCCAGAGTTCTGTTTTCCAGCCACTCTCATAAAGGAGGAAGTGACCCAGCCTGTACATTTTGGCAGAGTATGCAAGTACCTTACAAATATTGTACAATCAAAGCTGTGGTATTTTCTCCTTCTTCCAGGTCTAGGGGTTAATGCAAAGCACTGGAATAAGTAAAGAGCCAGTTCCCCTCCAAACTGTGCTATATTCTTGCTATATAACCTTGGGCAAGCCACTGCACTGGGCTTTTATTTCTCTGCCCCTCCTGGCGATGTGGAGTCATTCACTCAGGTTTGTAGAGTCCCTTGAGTTTTTAACAGGAAGGACAAAGTATTATTATAGCATTAAAAAGACAAGTGCTTTCTGTTAAGCAGGGCATTGTAGCAGCACACAGCCCACTCCATAACTACATCCCTGAATACATGGCCTTGGACAATAACACCAGTGGGAAGTAGCCTGGAGAATGGGCCATCACGGGCAAAGAAATGGTCCAAGTGGAAAATTCACTTACTGCCAGGAGAGGTCTGTCCTGCCCTCAGTTACATTGCTGTAAATCCAGTTATTCTCCTAAAACCTAAAATGTACTTGCCCCTTTTTTATGCTGTGCTTAAGCTGTTAGTCATTATTATGCATTCTGGAAGCTCAAGAGTCTGTACTCCTGGCTTTACTTGTACGCTGTAAATATGTATTTATACTTATTCTAATGTATATTTTTATTGCACTATACCAGACAGTGACAACATGTACAGGCCTGCTGGGATTTATCTGATAAATCTGTTCCCTCTTGGTAACTGGGCTAACATAACTTGTTCCATGTTAAAAACACCCATTTCAAGAAAGGCTCATACTTGGTTCAGGAGGTGCAGGCAGTGGGATGGAGGGGAAAAGGAGAAGAGAGAGAGTACAGCATTGCCCCATATGGTTCAAATGGAAATAAAGATGGAAGTTCACATGCAGAACAGGGCTCCCAAAGTTAGACTTGAAAGGAATCAAATTCAGGGAGCAGAGGCCTACTGGCTACAGAACAGCCACAAACAGTGCTCAAAGCCTGGGATAAGAGACATTCATCCTCAGAGACAAATTGGTGCAGAGCCCCACATAGGCAGCAAGTCAGCTCTGCAGAGCAAGAGGGCTGTGCAGCTACAACCACAGATGACATGCGACTGTGTGCCCAGCAGAAAGCGTTACCAAAATCCACATTTTTTTGCTACCAGAACTGCTGTCCTTTCCTGAGTCATGCCAGAACCTGGTCAAGGCAGGGACTCCAGCAGAGCTGTATGACCAGTGACAGAACTGGGCTTAAGGAACTGGTCCCCACGTCCTGACTGTAACACCAGCCACACACACACGTGTGAACACCCTCACACACGCACAAGCCTTACTCAAAGTAAAGTCATTTCAGCTTATTGAAACTGCTGCCAAAAATACAAACCCTGTTTATCCTCCACAAATCTGCAAACAGAAATATTTAAAGAGCATGTCAGCGTTTGAACTGCTCAGCAGTAAATACCCTCCAGCCCCAAAACACACAGGCTCCACAGCACAGACTTCCCTGCCTGTGTCTTGGCACAGTAGGTGTGTTTGACTCCTCTGAAGCTGCCCACTTTGGGCCGTTCTGGAGGGAAGTGCTGGCACACACGGATTGGCACTGTGGCAAGACTGCCTGTAAAACCACTCATAAAAGCAAATCAGGCAGCTGGTTCTTCTGAGCCTGCTGAATAAGGGCTACTCTAGCCATTAGATTTCCATTCCTATCTTTGATTTCCATGGTACAGAGGAGGTATAACCTTCAATGGGCAGCTGGGGTCTTTAGTCCTAAGGTTGTGCTTCTACAGCTTGCTTTTCCGTCCTAACTAAGCAAGATGACCCCAGTCCTGTCTTTTATTTGCCCAACACTCTAGAGCTGGGTGACCCACTCCCACCAGCACTGGGAGCATATCTCTAGCAACGCAGGCTGTGGATGGAGGCCAGCTGGCAAAGGTGGAGTGAGACAGTAGAGCCAGAGTCAGGACCTGAGCAGGGAGGACGAAAGGGAATTAACTTGCAGAATTTTCCACTAAGATGCTACAGTTTCTTCTTCTTGAGTAACAAAGTGGCACTTTCAGACCACTGTGTAATGCCCTGCTTGGTTCAGGACTATGATGCCATCAGTCCAAAGGAAACCCCTGGGCTTTCATCTGCACCCCCTGAAGCTCTGGAAATGCAGGTGAAGGAGCAAAAGAGGAAACAGATCTGCCATTACCCAAAACTCACCACACCAGGCTGGGGGAGAGCATTCCACTCCCAACACAGCACCAACCATGGGCTGTCCTGTTGCATGGAGCAGGCAAAGGGCTCCCATGATCCTTGGAGCTGCTGAATCCACATGACAGGTACGCAAGGATGCTCAGAACCTGTCAGGATCAGGCTATGCCTGCCACCAACTCCAAACACACCTGCCCGTGTTCTCCAAACATGCAAATCCTCCCCAGTTCTGACCATTCTGAAAACAACTAATTTCCCACCATCTCCCCTTGCATCAAAACCATTCTTGTCAGTCAATCAAGGAAACAAATAACAACAAGCAAAATCTCAACTAATCTTCATGGCTGAAGAAAGAGCTGATTGTTTGCCTCCCTCCAAGCCCGCCTTGTATCCTGCACTTCCCCAGTCCTCCTTGCACCTTCTTCCCTTTATTGCCAGGGAAAGAAAATCCTGGTCTTTGGGCTGTTTTGTTTAGCAAATGAGGGACATGCAAAGCAATAACCCCGGGCACTTGTCAGAAGGAGAGAGGTGCCTCTGTGTCTTCCAGACACCCTTTAGGCACTGAGAGCAGCAGCCCAGAAATACTATTATCAAGGGTGGATTTAAGTACGGGCACAGGATGCATCTTTCTCTTCCTAATAACAACAGAGCCACAGGACACCTGCAGGAAGCAGAGCATGGCATTACAGTGGAACTTATGTTCAGGTTGTATTAACCTCCACAGAGTGGAATCCCAGAGAAGGAAAACCCTGAAGTTTTCACATTGTGTTAGAAATGGTTAGGGAAGGCCTAAAAGGAACCAAGAGGAAGGACAGAGAAGAATCAGGCTTCATTTTGGTACAGGTTGTATTGGGGAGGGAGAAAAAAGTAAACTAAAGCTTGCTGAGTCCAGTTGCTTCCCACCCCAGACTTGAGAGAAAGTCTCTTCAGTGAAAAAGGAGATAAGAGCAGAGTCCCTTGTCCTCACAGTAGGTCATTCCCCCAGGGCCACGCAGTGCAGGTGATGGGGACACACCAGCAGGTTAATTCCAGCCCATCACCAGGGCACGCAAGGAGAAACCTGAAAGCATTAGACAATCTCCCAGAAATAGCTGCACACACACGTTTCCTTGTGTAGGGCAAACACTCCTGCTGACAAAGCAGAGAATTTTTCCCACTTTTCCCCTGGAATAACAGGTCCATACAGAAGAGATGGCCAACCCCAGCCACACCAAAATTATTCAAGGATAATAAATCGATCAGTTGCATCTCAGCTGGATGAGAGCCAAGAAAACACATATCCTAGCAGAGCTCTGACAAACCATCTCACAACTAACAGTCACCACAGACACACACTGATGTTAAGGCTGCAACCCTGAACTGAGACTTGAGATCTGCCACATGTTTCCTGCATGACTGAGGGCAAGACATGAGCTCTGGATTTCTGAGGTAGTTCAGCTCACTATGAGGCTCACAGAAAGCTTCACCCCATCTGTGAGAGGAGGATAATGATTCCCCCTCTCCCCTTCATTTCACTTGTTTATTTCAACGGTAAGATAGTCAGGAATGGGACTGCTCCTCCTTATCTTCTACATACAGCACCTCCACAATGAAGCCTTGCTCTTGGCTGGAACGCCCAAGTGCCATATTAATAACAAGAGATAGAAACTCAATTCAGAAAAGCAACCTAGTTCTGTAACTGGCTTAGAAAGAAATCCTCCAAGCACAGCAAGACCCTTACATTAAAACCACTAAACTGCCAAAGGAGAGGAGAAACAGGGCAAGCAGAAACACAGAGAGGATAAACAGCTTTTTCACCAGTGAATAATATTCCAGAGAGAGAGAGAAAGAGAGCTGGATATGGATGCTACAAACCACCAACTTGATATCCTCATTTTAAAGGTGTTTGTTTAATACAAGCATTTTTCAATCTGGTCCTTGGGCTGATTTTGACCTGTTGGCCCCAGGGTGATCTGTGTTCACCATACCAGATGGACAGACAGGCAGAGACCAGAAAGTCCCCAAAGAATGGGGAAATCTGAGGCTGGGGAGGAGCTGAGTGTGCACTGGGCTCAGCTTTGCTCTGATAAGTTTATCAAGCACTGCCGGCTGCTAACTGTCAGCCGGCAAAGTGGGCCTGTTAGGGAGGAGGAACAGCTCCCAGGGCAAGATAGCCCATGCTTTATCAGAGTGCCTGAGTCAAAGAGGGAACTGGAGAGTGAGCACTTTCCAACCACTTCATCTGAACAACAGACAGATTGGCAGGAAAGGCCTGACAGCCCTTCGCTTCTGCCACCCAGGCATCAACAGGGAGCCCC